CTATTATACATTAAGAGCTAAACATATTCTTGAGCTTGCTAATGTTTATCTTCTGTACATCACAACTAATTTATTGTATTTAACTATACAAACTTTCAACTTATAAATTAAATGTAAAGCAGTCTTGACTCTAGTCTTTGAAATTAAATAAACAATTTTGTTACTTAACATGGAACATATAAAAATTGCTTTGGATCATGAAAATCATAGTTGTAAACAGGACCAACATACTTCAAAATATTTTTTTTATGAAATACAGGTATGAATATTCAGTTAAAAATCAAATACATAAACACAGCCTAATGCCAATGACAGTGGAAGACACTGGAATCATGAATGTGTGCTCTCATTACCTCTAGTCACTGTGAACATAACAAAACAGTCCATTTTATGTTTATGTTCTGCAAAAAAAGGTTAATCCAACTCTTAGGTCCAGTTACCAAGAGCTTGAAATGTTCTGTGACCAGTTCTTGTGCTTCACAAAGGTTCTTGGTGCACCAGGTTTGATGAGATGATCAATCACATTTAAACTTCAAAAGGCTCAAATTTTCCATGGATTCCCAGTCATTCAGTTCATTAAGGGACTTAAACCATCTGGCTGGAAGGCAAAGCTGCTTCTTCACCTTCGTCTGCATCGTGTCAGTCGACCTTGTTCAGGGTTTGAGCCCAGAAAACCTTAAACAAAGAGAAAAGATACTCAAGTTTAACACAGAAACACTTCATGTTATAAACGTACTTTTTTCAAAACGCTTCTAAATTACATTACAGCAGCACATCACCTGGCTCATCAGCCGTTGCTGTCAATCAACTTACCATAACAGGAAAACTGTTTATCCACCGTCATCGGTGTCCATGCTAACTGGCCTTAACATTCATGAGAGGTTCCGTTAGCTGCAGCGTAGCCAAACACAAGAGATCAGGGAGAAGTGGATGAGCAGCACCACAAGAGTTTGTGATTGGCACGCTAAGACCTGCCGCCTGGTTCTGACTGTTTGAATCCAGTTAGCACTGGCTAACAGAAGAGCTACATGTTTTCCACAGATTATCTCCCATGCAATATCACGACACAGTGACAGCTTCAACATATATGTAAAAAAACTGTATCATAGTGCTGCATTAGACATTATTAGAAAGACACATAAAACATTATGCCTGTTATTGTAGAAAACATCACACACTTCTTAATTTAAACTAAATGTGTAACAGGTTGAATGAAACAAAAACAAATGTTCACACCTATTAAAAAGATGCCTAGTTGCTTTTCAGGAAAAGTTCAGGAGTGTCTGGATGCAGCTGTTGAGGAGAGAAAACAAAATATAAGGAGAAAGAAACATAAACACCAAAACATGCAAGTCTTCCAATGATTAAATCAATAATTTGTTGTTTTTTTTTAACAATTAAATGAAATCATTTGTTCTGACAACAAATTTAGAACAATACTATTTATATAGTTTTTAAGCTAAGGTACAATAACCGATAATGAGTTTGCAAGCAGGCTTTTTTTTTTTTGCAAAAGTCACTTATTTACTCTCAGTGATGTTTATTCCTATTTCAGAAACAGGAAAATCAACTACCTGTATGAACAATCCACTGACTAACAATTTATGAGGCAAGAAGCTTCTGACCCACTGTAACAGTTTATCAACCTAACCTAATCTCAACATGCCTGATTAGAGCACCGAACATGCAACAAATTTAACGCTAACACGAGCCGTCCCCACCCCAGTCTTAAGGTCGTCCCCGNCAACTTAATTGAATTGCTTGTTACCTACAGAAGCAATTCAATTAAGTTGATTCAATTATTTTCTTTTTAGAGTGTAGTTAATTATTTAACATCTGTCATTTCAGCTGTTTTCCTGTAAAAACACTTTATTCTTGTAGTTTTTACAGTGCAGCAGAGGTTTCCTTCTCCTCGGCTAAATGACTTCCTGATCCGTGTCTCCATGTTTTTAGTTGCGTTTCCATCTCTGCGAGTTTTAACGATGTTTCTCTCGGTTTTCTCTCGGCTCGTTTCCTCTGGTTCTCTAACAGGAGAAACTTTTTCCTGCTGAGCTCCGGATCTCAAAGTTCAGAACTTCTTTTTCCGTCTGGATGCCTTATTGTTGCTCAGGCGAGTGTTTGGATGATAATACTAAACTGAGGCGTTGCCATAGAAACCAGGAAGCTGGCGGAGGAGAGTGCAGCAGCAGCGCTCCGATCTTTATCTGCAGAACCAGGATGATTGTCTGCATGGATTTAAGTTCTGAGGAGGAAAAATGGCCGACCTGAGAGTGAAAAAGACAGAATTCATGTGGGGAAAATAAAATGTTGTGTTTTATTTAGCCTTGTTGCCATTGTTGTGTCATTTGAAGCATTTCTGTCGTGTCCTCAGCCTCCATCACCTTGTTGGAGTCGACATTCAGATCAACCCTCCAAAATAAGAGCCCAGACCAGAAGCTTCTGTCGACTCTTTACTGAAGCCAGTTGGAGTCAAACTGAGAACATAAAACTTTCAGGAATGAAACACAGTAACAAACAATACAGAACTTCAACTACAATAAAGTTTCTACAGAGAAAATTTTTAGCTTCATGCTGCAAAAGCTCTTATAAAAAGTTTTGCTTTGTTTTTACATATGGCTGAATTATTCCTAGTCAACAAAATATCCATAGCAACATTGAATACAAACCAACAGCTTTCATGCTTCTTGTTATTTCTATGAAGACATACAGTCGAGTCCATCAAGGTCCATAATGTCCACATTATGAGTTCACAGTACAAACATGGAGGCCAACAGAACCAAACAGCAGCTGGAAGAAAACGACACAAAACAACAGAGACAACAAACATGTAGATTTTAGCAGGCAGCTGGAGTTACAATAGAAATGAATAAAATAGGAATAAATAAATGAAACAGAACATTAAAGTGTGAAACTTCAGGAAAGAGATTTTTGACTTCACCAAACATAAAGACTTATAAAACAAATTCAAGTCATTCTTTAAACTGTCTGACATCAGGAATGGTTTTAAAAAGCAACATTTGTGTGTCTGATGTTTGGATAATCATTTTCTGGTTTGGTGAATTTTTAATTTTTAAAGTTTTAA